GGAACCTGGTTTCTCTTTGGCTATTTGTCTTGATTGCTCGTGCATTCTAGTCAGTGTTTTCCCTTTCCCGTCTGAGAAGGGACTTTCTTTTGATCTCTAATGAGTTTCTAATTATTTTTGATTAATAAATCGAGCAGAGCTTATTATACTTCGGCAATTATGGTCTATATTCGGTTAAATATCTCACTTGACATATGCACATACGAAAGCATATTCACACAGACGAGACACAAGCCCCGACACAGACCAACACACGAACGTGCACAAGCACACACACTCGCGCACGCACAAGCAGACGCACGGGAACCAAACTCTACACAAGCACAAGCACGTTCATGTTCTTTCCTCTTTATTTCCTGCTTCATTAAGAGCCTTTACTGACGTGAAATAAAAATACTAACGCTATAATTCCTCCCCCCCCCCCATTCCAGGCCTCGCTCGAGTGACATCCACCTTAGAAATCCTCTCCCAGGCTCTGACGTCACACCTGCAGCAGGATGACGTCATAAACCGAGGTAAGTCTCCCGGGTCAAATTAACTCACTTGACACTCGTAGACACAGACAAGCATGATGCAGATATACACACAAATGCAATCTGAAATGCAGTCAAATATTGTTACACTTTAACAGACAAATTAATACAACTCAGATAAACAAAAAAGCACGTGGAAGTGCACGTTTATTCACCAGTGTAAAAATGATCTTTAAATTGAAATATATAGTGAGGCCTTTAAGTGCCGTAGTATCAGTCGAAATGAAAGAGGTTTTCGATAATGGTTCCTGCTTTGATATATATACATATATATACATATATATATATACATATATATACATATATATATATACATATTTATACATATATATAGATATGTACATATATATGCATATATATGTATATATCTATATGTGTGCGTGTGTGTGCGCGTTTGTATCTATATATAAAGACATACATTTACATATATATATAAACATATATACACACATTCATACATGCTTGTACATGTCTCTTTATACATACATCTATATAGGTATAGATAGATAGATATATAGATAGATATAGATATATGTGTGCGCGCGCGTGTGTGTGTGTGTAAAACAACATGAATTGCTTTCTGAAAATTCAACTTTAACAAGCGCTAAATACTTCGCAAGAAAAGCTTTTAGTTTATGATGAAAGCATAATTTTTCCACAGGTACTTTCATGCCAAGCGAGTTAGTGGAAAGAGTGAAAGCACAAGAGAACGAAATGCAACAACTGTTGCAAAGGATAAACCAAACTGCAGCCGTCATTAAGCAGCTTGAAGAACAAAGTCAGCAACTTCAGAATGAGGTCGACCTCAGACGTCATGAGGTCCAGCAAAAGGAGGACTTGATTGGGCAGCTCAAGGCCAGCATTCGGAGAGTGAAGGATGAGACCCTGCAGATTTTGGCCAAAGGCAACGACGCAGAAGGGGAGGCCTCCCTTCAAGCAAAAGCACAGGCCCTCAAGGACGAGCTGGCGGGGGAGAAAGCACTGCACACTCAGAAACAGGCAACCAACACCCGGTTAGAGCAACAGGTCGCACAGGTAGAAAGCGACAGCGATGTAATCCGACAGGAATTGGCTCAGCTGGACGAGGATATCGAGCAGCTTCAGCAGCGAAAGACCTCGGCCGAAGGAGACAAAAAGGCTCAGCTGGAAAAGAAGGCCAACTTAAGGCAAGCCAAAGAAGAAGCACTGGCAGCAAACACCAGCATCCAGACAGTGATTGATCAGCTGACTGGAAGGATCAGCAATCAAGAAGCTGAAAAGAAAGTGTTGGAACAACAAAAGAAAAATAAGGAAGATGCGCTTGGTGCTCTTCGAGCGTCACTGGCGTCTCTGAACACCAAGAAAGAAGAAGCAGACGAAAGATTGTTAGATATGGAAGAAGACATAGATTTATATTGTGATTTTTAGCAGTTTGTTTATTGTGCAGTACAAGAGGATCAAGAAATACTGTGTGGGTATACCAGGTGCCATAATTGGTCCATGGAGGTGACAGTGAAGTGCAGAGACCCTGATATTAGTTATAAAGGGGTTCAGGAATGGATACGGACAATAGGTATAAAGACAGTAAAAGTTCACAGGGGTCACAGTATAGTGCAAGTTCTTAATTTTGATTATATAAGTTGTTCAGTAGGGCATGAGAGCATTGGGTACCAAGACATTGAAAGTTCTCTGTGATCATTTTTATCGTTTACATTTAGTACAGTGATCATGGTTCTTTTCTACAGACCGTATTATCCAGAGCATTAATATTCAAGGTTACAATTTGTGCAAAGCTGTTTGCTTCTCCTTGTTGATCTACTAAATTCGATATGATACGAGAAAGTAAAGAAGGCGGTGAGTTCATTCTTCAAACGGAAAGGCCAAACTATTAGTGTGATACACATTTGTACATGTCTGAACAATTTTCTCTCAACAGAGTTCCGTAGCTGCAGAAACATCAGCGAAGCTTTGCAGACAAGGATCGGCCTCAACGAGAACCAATTCCGGGAACAGCAAGAAGCGAACGCCCAGCTGGAGGCAAAGCGCAGGGAGTTGGACGAGAGAATCCGCCAGGCAAGGATCACCAAGCAACAGTTGCAAGAACAGCTGCTCCAACTGCAGACGGATGAGCTGCAGCTGAAACACGAGGAAGTGCAAGCCAAGACGGAAAATCTTGAGGCCAAGAGAGCACAGGGAGAGAAAGCCCAACTGAACAGCGAGATCAGTCTGCTTCAGCACGAGCTCCTCCTTGCCAAGGAACGCAGCCGTCATATTGAAACGCAGATTTCTTCCACTAGACAAAAGGTCACACAGGCCACTGCAACTAAAAATGGATTAGCACAGAGTAAAGATACAAAAGCAGCCACGAAAAAATCCATATCCCGAAATCTAGGGGAAGAAGTGGCTGTAATCGAACGACACTCTGAAGAAAATAGCCGTCTAGAAGAGGACATTGAACGCACCAGAGCAACAGGCGACAATCTCACGAAGACGAAGTCGGAGTTGGAGCAAAAACTGAACGCACTGAACGTTCAGAAGGGACAGTTACAGAAGGGAATACAGCTTGCTGGGGATTCGGCGAAGTCGGTACAGGCTTCTGTAGCGAGAGTAGGCCAGGAGATTCAGAAAATTGAATCTGATATTGATTTCACAGAAGAAAGAATGCGGTATTGTTTTTGACCTCTTGTCCTAAGATCTTGAATATGTTGAAAAAAAAATTATTATTATAGTAAATAACTTAGTCTGTATGAATATAATATTTCTAATAAACTTTACTAGAAACCTTCAAACTATAACATACCTGCAATGTAAATAATAAACGGGAATTAGAAGACGTAATATTTGCTAATGGCATGGGCTAGCAGATAATCACATGTGCAGTGAGAATAAGGAGGTTCAGTGATGCTTACCGTAAAATAAATATATAATATATAAGAAAATGGAGTTGAAGGCATAGTTGTGGTAAGGAGTTTCTGACCCCCCCCCTAGAGTAAGGAATTCGCCAAGTAAACAAAATATTTATGAATGAATGGTTTTCGAAGTGTCACTGATAGAAAGTTGTACAGTCATGAGTAATTATTCTCTCTCTCTCTCTCTCTTAGAGAAAGGAATGGAAGTGATATTAATAGATATATATGTGGGAAGAGGGGCCAAGGAGAGAAACGTCCAAGCATACAACAAAGACACAACAACACTAATTCCTAACACAGCTATTTGTCACCTCTTTATCCATTAATTTGAATAGCATACTCGTTTTTAAATTCACTAGCTTTATATGCGTGTTACCTATGTTTTGAAATGCCTCACACAAGATATTACTGAGCTGTTTTTAAATGTGAGTAAAACCAATCAAATAAAATCTAATTTTCAACGTATTTGAAAGAATAAAAGATAGATATTACTAATGGAATGTACCCGAAAATTTAAAGGATATTCAATCAATCAATCAATAATTTGGAGCTAATGCCGGCAGGGGCGCATAGCCGCATCCACCCTTCGCTGCCACCTGCGAGGATCTCTCATGGCGGCAGGCAGGGGCCCGGCCCATCTCTAGTTCCTCACGACAGGTTTGATCGATCTGCCCAAGCCACGACCTTCTTGGTCGTCCCACAGGCCTCCTCCACCCGGGAAACAACCTGGTGGGCAGGGTCATCATGCGGGAATCGAACCAAGTGTATAGCCTAAGTTGGTAATCACGGATTGTGCAAGTAACAGGTCCTGTACCGGTCTCATGGTGCAACCATTGATTGGACACTTAGTCCCGCCAACTGTACCCCATGATCCAGAGCAAGGATCTGTTACAAAAGGCATCAAGACGAGATTCTAAGGCACAAGATAGCATCCAGGTTTCACTACCATATAGCAAAACTGGCAGTATCAGGGCCTCGAAGACACACAGCTTGGTCCTTCTGCACAGGTACCGGCATCTCCAAATACTCTTGTCGAGAGATTTCATGACCCCTGCTGCCAGGCCAATCCGTCTACTGACTTCCTGGTCTGACAGCCCAGAGTCGTGAACTACACTACCAAGGTATATAAAATTCTTGGTAACTTTGATGTTTTCGCCGCAAGCATGTACCGACTGCACAGGGTCTCCTAGTAGGTCTCCAAAATCCTGGATCTTGGTCTTGGTTCAGGAGACCTCTAGCCCCAGGTGCTTCGCTTCATTGCTAAATGCATCAAGAGCCGCCACTAGGGTTTCCAGAGATTCAGAAAGAATGGCAACATCATCAGCAAAGTTAAGGTCAGTAACCTTGACATTGCCCAGAGTTGCTCCACAGTGACTTTGGACTTTAGCTCTACCCAGTATCCAGTCCATGCAAGTGTTGAAAAGTGTTGGTGCAAGAACATAGCCTTGCCTCACACCTGAACTAACAGGGAAGACGCTCGACAGGCCCCCACCACACTTTATAGCACTCTCAGTGCCTGTATACAGGTTTGCTAATAATCCAACAATCCTTGTTGGAATTCCTTTTGGCCTCAGGATCTCCCAGAGAGATTCGCGATGCACCGTATCAAACGCCTTCTTGAGGTCGATGTAGGCTGCGAGCAGCCCACGCCCGAACTCACGACGACGCTCTACAGTGACACGAAGCGCCAGGATGTGGTCTATTGTGGACTTACCAGGAGTGAATCCCGATTGCTCCGGCCTTTGGTGCCTCAGCAGGTGGTCTTTGATACGTCTCAGTAAGATGTGCGCGAGTGCCTTGCTTGGTATACTGAGCAGTGTAATGCCTCGGTGATTGCTGCAGTCCCACTGATGTGGGATGACCACACCCCTCAGCAGGTCAGGGGGAATAATACAGGTTTGCCAAATGGCAGACAGGACTGCATGCAAGCCCCTTGCCATAGGTTCTCCACCAGCCTTTAACAATTCAGCTGGGATGCCACAAACACCTGCTTTTCCACGCTTCAGCTTGGAGATCACCCACCTGACTTCAGTCAGGAGTGTGGATCCTCGCTTATGGGTGGGTCAGGCAGAGGAATCTCAACATTCCCCGAGTCCACGTTAACTGTTGGTGGATCAACCTGATACAACTGCTCAAAATACTCAGCCCAACGCGCACGCACCCCATCAGGAACTGAGATTATCTAGCCATTGGAGTTCAGCTTCCTCAGGGCTTGGTAGGCAGGGCGAAGGATATTCCAACAGTTTATTCAATAAATATTATGTAAAAAGTTTTAAAAGTTAACATTTCAGATGTTATCTACATTGTAAGAGGTTAAAGAATTATGCTTTACCGATTTACATATTTGACTTATTAGTGTTTTTAACTTTAGGTAGAAATAAAAAAATAAAAAGTTTTTTTTACGCAACTGTACAATAGTAAAACGATTTTGTCAACAGGAAGATTTCTGATTTTATATCCAGTTCATTATTATAATTTATTATTATTTTCATTATCATTTATAATATTACTATTATTATTATTATTATTTTTACATATGTGATTTCTGTCATCTACTTAGAAATATCTCTATCATCCAAGAAATTAAAATATAATAAAAAAAATCATTCACCGATAGACGGACCACAATAGTAGAGTAACTACGCCTTAGATCTAAATTATCTGCACTACTGTTATCATCATCTTCATCATTGTTATTATTAGTTTATTATTTCTAATATTTGTCTTTTTCTTATTCTTATTACCATAACCATCATCATTATTGTAATTATCAGTATGATAATAATGGTAATGATGATGATACTTGTATTCATAATAATAATAATTATAATAATATAGATAATAGTAATGATAATGATAATGATGATGATATTAATAGTAAGAGTAATAATAATAGTAATAATGATATTGATAGTAGTCATGTTTAAAAAAAAATATCATAAGAATTATCATTGTTATTATTATTACAATTACTGTGATTATCATTATTAGTAGTAGTAATAGTAGTAGTTGTAGTATCATTACTACTATTGTTACCATCATCATCATTACCATAGTTATCTTGTCTGTAGGTATATCATAAACATTTTCCTCTTTAATGCCGCAAACGAGATACAGCGTTAGGGAAAAGAACATATTTAATATCTCTTAATTCCCAATATATCCTTCGAGTCCAGCCATATTCATGTTCTGACAAATTTGAAGATGCTGGTCTTGCTCGAATTCTGGGCCGCTGAGTCTTGGTCAAATTCAGAATCATCGGCCAGATTCAATTTTAGCAGATTGATTTCCTTATTGTGTTTTCAATATTTTCGAATGTTCCAGAGTCTTTTGATATCTACGTGCAAGTTTATTGAAACGGAATTTAATTGTGTTAGATATTCGAGTTTCATTATTGCTAATGCTTTATTGATCACTATGATCACATGTATTTTTTTTTTTTTTTTTAATAATGTCATCAGTTAACTAAAGTTCCTTAATGATAATTAGTGGTAGCATCTCATCTTCGACTGATTAAAATTTTCTTCTATGCCTATTATTTTTATATTCCTTTTTCATTTTCTTCTAAGTAACTCAAAGGCCCACAAGAATAAATCTGTTTGTCTTGTTTTCTTGCTTTTAAAGAGGGAAAAAATAGCAGAATTGTAGCGTAAATCCTTTCTTCGCGTAGGTATGGAAATATATCACAGACTTACAAACACAAATCAATATTAAAAGAAAGGAAACGCAGATGGAGGTATATATTAATACTAAGAGTCAGTGGCGAAATTCACGTGAATAAAGGAATATTGTAATAAATGGTATTCTTGATCTTATTGGTCTATTTACTGAATAAACGAAAACAACAACAACAAAAAGGATCTGTTTATCTGTGGTGAGTCCTTGTCTGGAATAGGGATTTACTTCTCAAGAATAGAACAGGAATTTATAGTTCAGAATGAGATTCCTCGATTTCAACAGAAATCTGGTAATCTGGTGTGCTGAACACCCCCCCCCCCCTCAAGCTGTACCTCTCCTCTTCTTTTGGTGCCTTATAAGGTGACATTAAAGTTCCTGGTAGCTAAGAGAGTTAGAACTAT